CCCCCCCCTTACTTCACAGTGTTGTTTTCCTCCTGGCTCTAGCACTCACAAAATCCTGGCCCCCTCTGGGCTAGCACTTTTACATCTGCAGAGCAGCAGACTACATTAAATCAGGGATTTTACCCAATGAAGATGAAATTGGTTTTAGTTCAGTCTGGTGACTAGAAATTAAGATTCAGGTGTAAGTTGCACAGCACTGTGGATGTACTTGATACCACTGAACTATACACTTAAAAATGGTAAAAATGGTAAATTTTGTGATATGTATATTTTACTACAATTTTAAAAATCATTCAGGTTTATTTTTTCCAGTTCTGAATAGTTTCTAAAACTTGCTTGGTTCAATTCCATTCAAGCTAGTACATGTTTGCTATTATTTTCAACACTCTTTGGGTCAGCTCAATGTTTGCTGAAATATAGGGTATGGCAAAAGTAGGTTTACCATTGTTCATACAGAAAATAATGCAATTATTAATAATAATACAAGAATAAACTCTGTGGCCCTGGCTGGTGTGGCTCAGTTGGTTGAGTGTCATCCTGTGCACCGAGAGATTGCCAGTTCAATTCCTGGTCAGGGCACATGCCCAGGTTTTGGGCTCGATCTCTAATAGAGGGTGTACAGGAGGCAGCCAACTGATGTTTCTCACTCTCTCCCTCTCCCTTCCTGTCTCTCTAAAATCAATAAAAACAAATATTTTTTTAAAAGAATAAATTCTGTGTTTCATGTACTTACAACTGTAAACCTACTTTGCCACACCCTGTATTACTGTTTTGGTTAGGGATTCAGTAAACTTGTGTGGTTTGCTATGGATTTTAGTACACAAATCAGTTCAAATATTTAAATATTTATGTCTTTGATCCAAAGAGAGGCATCAAAAATTTTCTGGCAGCTGATTTCAAAATATCAGAATTTAAAATACTACCTGACTCAGCAATCCCACTTTTAGGTACATTTACTATAGATTTACACACACAAGTACATCAAAAGATTTGTACAAGAGTTTTACTGGAGCACTGTATATAAACATCTGGAAATGACTATAAACATACATCAAGAGAGGACAGGTGAAACAATTTACAGCACATCTGTACCAAATAATACTATGTGTACTTCAAGAGAATGAGGCCAAATATGCTGACTGAAAGAAAGCTATGATATGATAAGTTAACAAACGAGCAGTCAAGAATAATATGTATAGTATGATCCTATCTATGCTAAGATAACAATAAAGGAAATGAACACCCGTTTACACACACACACACACACACACACACACACACACACACACACACACAC